AGAGCGTCTGCACTTGTTACTGATTTTATGAGGTTAGATCGCTCAGCACAGTGAATGTCATACACAAGTTATTTTGGAACCCTACTGTGGGCTCTGATCACCCCTTTCATCTTCATCAAACACAGCTACCGTAGGAACATCAGATTGGAATAGGTTACTTAAGTAGTACTGAGTTACCTCCAGTGTGAGATATTTGAAGTACCCATGCTCCGTGTTTCTAGGATATGGTTGCTTTTATAGCTCATAAATATATTTAAAGTATTTTTTGATACTTTTGTTCTATGCAAGAATAATGGAGGACAACTGCTAACTCGGTTTATAACCTCAGTTTGTTTTTTCTAATTAATATTCTTTGAACAGTTCCAAATTTGGGATTTAGTTTGGACTGCTGCTTTTAAAGACCCAACTCTGCTGCATTTTTTGTATACTTATTTGTATTGCGTGGTCATCAGAATTGTGTGCTGCTGAACTGGGTGCTAATCTTCGTGTTATCAGCATGATCTATAACTAACACATTTCTGTGTGAAGTTATTCATGAAGAAGTGCCTAATTAAGGTAGTTTGACAGCACTCAGATTGCACAAGGTACTTGATTTCTATTATATGAATTACTGCTTATGTGCCAGAAATGAGAGTTACCATTGAAACTGAGTTAAATGCGCAGGACAACTAGTATTATTATTATTTTTTAAAATAAGTTAACACATTTGAAAGTGATCTTTGACTACCAGTCGGGCAGTTTACTATTTAAAGGATTATTTTCAGTAAAAAGCCAGCGCTTCGAAATAGCGAATTCTGAGACTTGGAATTCTCAAGTCTTGTGTTTTAGTGCTGACGTCTGCTGTAGCTCTTTCCATGCCGGTTGAACTACAGTAATGATTCCAGTTGCTTTCAACTTGTAGAAAGGACTTCTCTGGTCGATGGAAGAAATTGTGGCATACTTTAATAGTAGAGTTCCTTTGTGCATTAAAGGACACAATAAATGCTGTCTCAACAAAGTATTATTCATAATGAGGATGTGCTGGCATGGCAAAGAATTAGGTCCCCGATCACTGGACTTGAAACAAGTCTGTTAAGTATGCTAAATTGATGAGGAGAGCTGTGAGTAAAGCTATAGTCACATATGGGCATTGCATGGCAAATGTGGAGAGCAAAAACGGCAGTTAATCCAATTTCTAATCCTTGTTGAAACTGCAGCAGCTACTGGCAATAGAGCTCCAAGGGACTGGTTTGGTTTGTATGTATTTTTTTCTTGGCAGCAAAAACATGTTTTGCATTAAAACACTTAACTCTCAGTTTTATGAGGTTGTAACATGGTTTCTTAGATGTAAACAACCTCTGCCAGTTGAATGGAATATTTTTAAAAGTGCATGGAGTTTTCTAAGGCAGAATTGCACTTTGCAAAGGTACAAAATAACTCGTGAAAGAAAGAGTTTTCAGCCATGCAAGGGTTTTTTCATGCATACTTGCAGAAAAGCTCAAGTTCAGCATTGCCTTGGTTTGACAAGGGACCAACACGTGGGAAGACATGAGTTGGGTTTTTGTTTTGAGATAACTATACTTAGAAGAACAGAATAGAGGGAAATTGGAATACAAGAAAAAGACGTTGGGGTAACAAAGACTGTGGTTTAGAATGAGAAAACAGTTTCTGCTTTCTTGGCCAAGGTTTTGTTTCTACTTCTGAGGTGCTTTTCTTTTTAACTTGCTTGTCCTGTTCTCTGCCAACACCACTCCTTTCCCTTTTCCTCACCTTCAAATTTTCTTCTTAGGAGATTGTATAATTCAGGGCATCTTTCACATGAAGTCATTTATAATACAGTAGGAAAGTTTTCTCCAACGCAGGAGAAAGACTTGCATTAATTGCTTAAGAAAATGTTCCTTTAAAGAAAAGCTGAGAAGTTATTTCAGGTTTTGGCATGAAATTTTGGCCTGAAATTTGCTGCCATTATGTAATAGATGGCAAAAGGAGAACTGTTGATACATATTTTATGAAAGAAACACAGCCTTATGAACCACTGTGGTGGTGGAAATAACATCTTCTCCAAGGAACTCGGAAGGTAGATCTTTACAGTAATACTTTACTGAGTCTTAAATAGAAAGTTATGTTGAAGCAGAATCATGACTGCTGGAAAGGAAATGTTTGTAACTAACCTCTGTCGCAACTTGAGAGTCATAAAGTAGTAACAAAGGCACCTCCAGAACCTCTTGAGTATTATTTTACATCCCGTAGCCATGATTAATTCTGTTCACCTTTTCTTTGCAGATATTTCCTGAAGGAGTTTCCTGGTTCGAATATTTATTCTTGATCAGTAGTTTCTGTTGGGTTCTTTCCCTTGTAACACAACCTGTCAGTATGTGTTGCTTCTACCAGCATTTTCCTGACTTGTCATCTCTGTTTTTTAAAGCTTTCATATGCTTCTTGTAGCAAGCCCATTTAAATTGAGTTTTGACTGACTGCCTGGCACCAGAAAATTTCCCACGTAGGAGATTCTCTGTAACGAGTGAAACATCCATTCAGCGCCATGGGAGACTCCCCATATAAAAGAATAAAGAACTGCATGGTGCATTTGCTTTCTCTTACACCTGATTGTCACATACTTTCCTTTTCAGTGTTCACTATGCCATGAAGGCAACATGTAGTATATTGTTAGGTATTTTACAGTGCACGTTGTGGCTGCTTTCAGTACTTCAGGGCACTGCCAATTAAAAGTAAACTTCTGCAGTAATACTTTCCCATGGGAGAATGAGGAGGGCTGCAGAAGCAGCTGAGGTGTGTACATCACATAGAGCACATATTGAACATACTTCTTCTGTCACAAGAAACGCTTCGGGTTCTGCAAAGCTGCTCGCTCTCAAAACCTGAAGAGATGACTAAAAGCTTCCAAGTGCTAGGAGGAACGTCTGCCAAAGGAAAGCCTTACTGATAAAATCCAGGTTTGCTATAGGCATGTCATGGTCAGGAAAGTTGGTGAGAACCATGAGAAAGGTGTAATCTTCTAAAGACAGTAAGAGTTCAAGGAAATACGAGCAGTGCAGTGGTAGTTGTCTTCACTGGAGTCGTGTGGGAATGGCAGTTCATGGACCTCCATTCAGCTCATGGTGTAAGGTCTAGCAGGTAATGCCATGGCATTCAAATGGTAGAAGCTGCTGTGCCAGTAGGTGCTAGACCTTTAAGGTTTTGATTCTTCTGCATTTTGATAATACTGATGCGGTTCAGGATAAAATCCTTGGCTTCTGTAACAACAAAAATATGAAAAATTTAAGTTAAAAATTCAGCTGAAAAATCAGAGCAAACCGCTAATTGTAAGATACAGTAAAGGGCAACTTAGTGTTTTTAGTCTCATGGGAGATATCCTGGCTTGTTCAAACAGTCAAATCACAAGTGAGTTAGCAGGTTATTCCAAAGCAGGGATCTTCAGCACACGGGGATCAACAGGGTGTGTGAAAATAATTTCTGAAGTTTTTGGAACTGGAGCGTTTTCATTGCAAGTCTTGGTATTCCACACTATGGGTTTATGTGCAAAAGCAAACTTGCTGTCAAGCCTGGACCTTTCATGGTGTCACTGAACAACTTTTACCTGATAGTCTTGCAGAGGGTTGGTGCAAGAGGGAAGTGCTCTGAATTTATTGATCCCCAGCCTGCTGAAAGCCAGGGCGTGCTTACTTGCTTTTATCCCAGCACTGATAAACTCATTTTGTTGTTGAATGAAAAGATGAGCTTTAAGAAAGTCAGAATCACAGACCATTGGAGTTGGAAGAGACCTGGAAAGCTCCCCCAGTGCAACCCCTGCCAGAGCAGGATCACCAGAGCAGTCACACAGGAACACGGCCAGGGCTTTGGCTGTCTGCACAGAAGGAGACTCCACAACCTCTCTGGGCAGCCTGGGCCATGCTCTGGCACCCTCACACTGACAAAGTTTGTCCTCATGTTCAGCTTGAACCTCCTGTGCTCCAGCTTGGGACCATTGCCCCTTGTCCTGGCATTGGACATCCCAGAGCAGAGCCTGGCTCCTTCCTCCTGACACTGCCCTTTCCAAATGGATCCCCATGAATGAGGGCACCCCTCAGTCTCCTCTGCTCCAAGCTCAAGAGCCCCAGCTCCCTCAGCCGCTCCTCAGCAGGAGATGCTCCACTCCCTCCATCGTCTTTGTGCCTCTGTTCTGGACTATGTGAGGAACTAAAATGAAGATTTTTTTTTTTCCATTATTATTTTTTTTAAGGCATGTCAAAGACTGAAGCAGAGGGTTGCAGACGACAGAGAAACGAATTAATGCAAGATTGTTAGGAAGGAAGAGGATGCTACAGTGTAAAGAATTTGAGAAAATATTAGACTGAAAGCTAGAAGAAGACTTATTTAAGAAGTGCTGCTAGACACTGGAGATACCTTTCCACTCTTCAGACTGGAAGAAGTTTGACTTGTGAAAAAGTAGATGAAATCCAATGCCAGCGTTACATTTGGTTGATTAAAATTTTCTGAAATTATCTCTGCAATAAAAAACAAGTTGCAAGCCTTCTATCCAAGAGGGGATTTTGTTCACTTTTGACTTAACCATTTTCTTTATCACATTAAGGTCTGTGACGCATTATTTTATTGAACAGATCAAAAAGTGAAGAGTTTTGACATGTTTTGATTGTTTGTGCGAGCTCTAAGTTTTAAAATGTTTTGAAACCCTTAACCTCTACTTTCCTGTTTGTTGGCCAGCATTTGTAGCATGTCTTCAGTAAGATGCATTCAGATTTTTGGGCTTCCAAGGGTGAATCCCCATCCAATATTTGCTCTTACCCTTTCTCAGTTTGTCCACGTAGGTTAACTCCTTCAAGGTGGTTACTGACTTGTGAACTTCATTGTCCTGTTTTGCAGGCTTTGCTGTAGCCCAGTGTATAAATCAGCACAATCCCTCACCAGTCTCCTCACCCTCCCCTTCCAGTGGCAGTGGGAGTACGGGGCGCTGTGATTCAGTGACTGCAAGCTCAACATCCACTCCCTCTGCTGCACAGAGTCCATCAGGTATTAAATCACAATTTTCATCCTAGGCACTAAGAGGTGTAGAGTTGTTTATTGTACAATTAACTGCTGTGTTACTGGATTAAAACAGTAGGGCTTTGGTTTTAGATCACTTGATCATTCAACTGAACCAGTTAAAGTAAATTGTGATGCAGATTTTCATGTTCTCTTCAGCTTTCTGGAACTCTTAATAAATACTTGGCATCTTTCAGCACTGATTTCAAGTACTGGTGAAATAACATCCTGCTTGTCTGACTTGTGTCCTAGCACATACCATTTAAAATGTGGTTTGGTTGGTTTTTTTTAAACTGAAGTATTGCCTTGCATGAATTTGTAGTGTAAACTGTTAGCCATTCACTGTAGTGGATAAGTTGATCTCCACATGAAGCGTCTTTTTGAACTGGGTGACATTTGCTTTTGTATGTTTATCTGATACTCCTGTTCATGTTTAACAATGGACTAAATAGGAAAGATTTGAAAACGGTTACTGAGGATGCTAAGATTGTAAAGCTTTTGCAATAACGCTCTTCTGGCTGAACACCACTGTATTTCAGGAGGCTGTTTCACTGGTGTAGAAGAAGCTGCCATATAAATAGACTGACAGCATAACTTTCACAAGTGTGGGTACCGTGTGTTTATGTTGGTCAACGTATTTAGTGGATGTGTTTATACTGGGACAACTTGTTGCATTAGAATGCCTTCATTCCTCCCTTTTTGTGTAGTATTTGTAGAGAATCTTGTCAGGGTGTTTGTTCTGAATGCAAACTGTGCGAGGTAAAGCCTCAGGATGGAGACTGAACAAGTAAATTGTGAAGGGTGCACACATCCTCAGGTGCTTTCCTGCTAGAGCTGACCTACTCTACCTCATTTCGGTTATAAACCAATGGAGGTAGCTTGATTCTCCAGACCTTTTCAAACAGCCCCCTCATGTTAACAGTCACTTCCAGTGTTGATCGCTCCTTGAAATGGGTGTTCTGCCTCCCCCTTCTAAAACATAACCATTTTGCCTTTATTTGGAAGCCTCATATAGATTCAAGCCTTTTTGCAGTCCTACAGGAAATGAGGCATTCTTTGTTAGGTATTTAGTGTTTTGTAGGTTTCACTGAACAGTGTTGAGATCAATGTACATTATATGTCCAAAGTGACTATCCGTGCAAGAAATATTGCTGGGAAGGCTGCTTAGGAAGTTTATGAACAATACGTAAAGCATTCTAGCACTCAGACTCTAGATTAAAAAGCATCTATTACTGTGCCTCACTTGTAGTCAAAATATTCCTGCAATGTGTGTAATTCCAGAAAAAAAAATTGGAATATTTGTCTATATTCAATCTATTCAGAACTTTGGCAGGACCTCACTTTGTTTTGTCTGTTGACAAGTGATTGCTGTTATCCAGTTTCTTAATGAGCTAAATAACATGTGATGCTTACACAGAGAAGTATCGTCTGTCGAAAGTCTCAGTGTAGATTTGCACTACAAGGAAACATTTCTTTGACTACATGTTTTTCCTTAGCAGTGTAAGAAGGCTCATCTGCGGTGTCCTTTGCTGTATCTGAATCCTCTGTGATCAGGAGGTGAAATGCAACTACAAGCTCTTGGCAGTAGTGGCTAAAAGAAAACTGTAGTGAAGGAAATGAAAATTAATAAAATCTACATTATTTTTGTTGCTGTAAACAACATGCTAGGTTTCAAACCGAGGTCTTTCAAATGCATATAATTTTACTGCTGTGAAGAAATGAGTAGATCTGTAGCACATAATTCTTCATTTAGCAGTGGAAATGAGCATGAGAATCGGCATCTTGGGTCCCAAGGGAGCAGCTTGCGGTGACCTGCTGCAGGGATGGCTTTTGAGCTCAAGTCCTGGCTTCTGTTCTGCCCTCTCCACTTGGAGAGCGGTGACAGGGAGGCAAAGAGTGGCTGATGTGCCTGAGCAGGGCATTCAGGGCAATAGGACAATGAGCAGTTGGTGCTGAGGTGCATGGATCTCATCTGTGTGTGGCATAGGGATTTTGCTGTGACCCATATTGTGTCCTGGTTTGACCTAAACAGAACTGATTTTCTATTTAGTTATTTTACTTCTCAGCTCAGTCTCTTCAACCTTCTTGCAATCCACATCTGATGAGAGCGGGCTGGTTGAATAGACTGAGCTGAAAAGTAAAATCACTAAGGAGAAAATCAGTTCTGTTTAGCTCAAACCAGGACACAAATGTACTCTGACCTTTGGGACCAAGCATCCCTGCCACGTTTGTGATTGTCTGAGGGACCAATTATTAGTTCATATTAGTTCATTAGTGCTATTAATATCTAACATGTATTCCTTGCATAGCTGCAGTGTATCTTATAGTTCGGTATCCTTGTGAAAGAATCTCATTAATGCACAGAAACTTCCTAAAATCGTACTAAAGCAGTCAATGTGCATAATTCTGCTAAGCTGCTCTACTGGTCTGAACCAAACTGCTGATGTAGTTGCAGCCAATAGTTAACAAGTAATGTTTAAAACAGTTACAGCCAAGTTGCTGATGGTGTCTCAAGGTCCTTACCATAGACTGGAGAGGATCCTGAAATCCCTAGAGCCGAGTCTTTGGGGGTGCAGAGGTGGTGAGGGTTTTCTCCAAGCCAGAGAGCTTCATTGACGCTTTTTGCTGATCTTCAGTGTCACATCAACACTGTTGTCTATTCCTGGGAACAATGTTTCTGCATTAACTGATTTGACCACTTTACTGCAAGTTTGTAATGAATGTTCTCCTGAATGTTCTCCTCTTTATGCTATTTCTATTTTATTGTGATCTATATAGGAAACTGTTGCCAGGAGCACAGCCATGAAAAAGATTCTCTGGTGTGTCCCAATAGTTGTTCTGTAGGCTTCTACATGAACAGAAGTACACTGCTGAAATAAGCAATAGTGTCTTGACCACTGACAGTGTTACATCAGGTCTTACTGATCCCTCATCTGAGTCACAAGATCGATTGTTGGTATTCACCCACTTCAGTGTAACACAGGGAGATTTTCCCTTGACCTGTTGAGGACACCTGAAACTAAACTGCCTTGCTCTACTGTGGAGCAGAAGAGGAGGCTTGCATGCTGTGAAGCGGCTCTTTCAAGGAGGAAGTAACAAGTAGCTGATGAACAGCAAGCAGTTACCAGAGTCTGGTTTATGCCTCAAGGTAGCACTTGAATGCTGCCTCCATCTGTCACATTTGAATCTCCCTTCTCATTTCCCATTCCATTTTAAACACACTCATGCAAGGACACATGTGTGCTCTCTCTGTCCCTTCCTCCTTCCCTGCTCCCCTCTTTGTTCTGGCAATTGCTCAGGTGGTTGACCATGAAGAACATGCAAGGTTGCTCAGGAACTTCAGTCAAGAAGGCCAGACAAGATAAAGGGGAGATGTGTATGTGGACTTCAAGGAAACTTATCTCAGCTACCTTCTGGAAGAGCAGCCTCTCAAACCACGACAGCTATCTCTGCTGTAAACTTGTGATTATAGTGTCCTAAGCTACTGTCTATTGACAGGTCTAAACAGTTCAGAGTTTGATATGTTTGAGATGGTACTTGCAATCTTAACTGAGTTGTTTCAGGAAATAAGATTTGGAACATACACACTGAGTTACATAAAACAGTGCTGGATGAAAACAGTATCCGAGTGTGAGGAGGGAGGTTACCTAAACTGCATGTTTCAGTCATTGCAAGAGAACAATAGTTGCATTAACTGCTTTGTCATGGGTAAAATAAGCTCGTATGATTCTTGAGTTTATCAGCTCTCCTACGTAATAATTGTCACGGTACTTCATGGCACAGATATTTGAAAACCTAGCAGCTCCCTCATTTGCTTTATTTGGGATTTAAGCTTAGCCCTTTACAAGGTCTCCATTTCTTAAAAATGAAAAAGCAGAAGTCGTCCCTTAAAGGAAGGAGAATCCCTAGCAAGACAGAAAAAGCAGTATCAGGTTCTGCAAATGCTGCTATCAGGTTGGTTTTTTCTTTGTATTTACATGGTTTGGTTTGGGTTTTTTTTAAATTAACTTGTCAGTTTGAAGTGTTGCTATGCATAAGATAAAAATGTTCTCTTGCTAGGTAGATTTTAATTGTCAAGCTTCTGAGCTTAGAATACAGTCTCTTTTTGGCTACACTCGCTGGAACTGCGCACTTCTTTAAAGTGCTTATTTTTACACACACCAAGAATTAAGATAAAGAAGCTCTTACTGTAAGTTAGCAGTCTTCCAGAATTATGTATGTGTGATATCATATGCACTGTATTTTATAACTTTTTAAATTGTATTAAGCTTTAAAGTGCAATTGGCTTCAATACTTAAGGAGATGTTTATATTGGAGCAGTGGATATGGAGGACTTCAGAAGACGTTGATCTTCTATGCCACTTACGCTGCATTTCACACTTCTGACAGATATTGATGGTAAAAGGTCTAAGATAAGTACAAAGAGCTGTCACTTGTTGCAGAGAATATATTGGATTCCAGTCTGTAAAATATAATTTATATATTCCAAGGATAGGATGATTAATCAAGCATGGAGAGCCTATAAGAGCAGTGCCTGCCATCTGACTGAAGCCATCCTTGTCTCTTCTCTCTATAATCAGTAATTTAAATGTGGTTTGATCTCTTCTGTTCTATGATGCTAATAATTTTACATCTAGGTGAGGATGTACTTTTATACATCTGTACATATGCACCGAGCATCATCATCTGAACTGCTGCTATCTTTTAAAACACTCTATTTGGCTTTATTACAAACCAAATCTAATACGTCCATTTCGTATCATGGAATAGTAGGGCTGAATGGTTTGAACCATTGTCACCTGCAAGGTAGTGCACCTCTTCTAATTTGCGGCCAGTGGAAATCAGAATAATTCTGTGTCACCAGAATTTGTCATCAATAGCTTCCCTCAAGATTTCTACAGCACTGGAGTAGACTGTAATGCAAATAAATGCCGTTCCCTCCTGGGTGTAAGTGCTGTCGGTATTGCCAGACACAGCCCCAACTCTGTTATGAACATCTCCAGATAGGTAAGCAGAAAATTAAATTCAGTTAAAACTCATTTATTTCTAAAGAATGAATACTTCCAGCTTCAGAAGTATTTCCCAGACGTACAAGACTCATGGTGCGGGGTCAAATTTCATTTGAGATACCAGCAGTTACGGATGTGTCCTTGTCGCTTATTCTCGTTGCTGCTGTAACATTTATCCTTTGTCTTCATTCCAGTTTCCCTCCCTCGTTCCATTGTTAAAGCCTTCGTATGATATATCACTGTGTTTCCCTCTAGTAAGGTCTGGCAGGAAAGGACGTCGGCGGGTGTTTAGTCTGTCGGAGGCTGACAGTCACGGTGGACACTGGGTTTAGGTCTTCGAGCAGCAGCTGCAACAGCAACTCGCGCAATATCAATTCAGGCAGGTTCCTCCATAAGCTTTCAAAAGCTCCTAACAGTTCGTAGAAGGTATTTGGTTTCTATGCTGACAGCAATGACAGTGAGGTAGGAAACTGAAGAAAGCTTTATATTTGTCTCTGCTGTTCTTTTGGGGAGAATTGTAAAGCAATAATTAGCTCTTTCTGAAAACCTCACCTGCAGTTTCTCCCATGTTTCTCGACCCTCTTGCCAAAGATGGAAATTCTGCTATCAAGCCTCCAGCTTCAAAGCAGCTATGTCTTCATTTGCACAGGGCCAGCCGTGGCTGTAGTGGAATTTAGTAAGCACAGGCTCCTGAATGGACAGTAATGCAGGTACTTGGCTGGCTGCAAGGAACCTATTTCTAACTTGTGTAAAATGGACAAACATTCAGCATAAGTCTGTCCTTGGACTGTGATGGCACAAGCTTCATAATTCTCTGATCATTAACTCGGGCAGATGGCTTTATGGACTGTTTAATTGCCTGAGGAGAGGAAGCAGATGCAAAAAAAATGGGAATATGCTTCAGACTACCTTATTTATATAGCCTGTGTTAGCTTGTATCTAATAAATTTCTTTTTTTTTTACTGTCCTAACATGAAGATATTTTACTCTGTTAATGTTATAGAAACACCCTTTTTCATCTTTATAGATTTACTTTGCATCTTTTCACTTAATGTCCTGTTATTTATATTTTTGTTATCCTCTCATAGTATGTTGCTGTACAGCTTAGGACACTTCTCTGTAGATGATATTTGTTCTTTCCTTTTCCTCTTCTTTTCTATCTTCTTTCGCTAATAATCATCCTTAACATAACATAGCAGAATTTGAGTCATTTGGTTTGGATTTTTTTTGCTGTAATTATAATCTTGGTAGCATTGTAGAAGTGCTGAAAAACATCTAAGGTTTCTGAAGCCACTGCAGCCAGAAAGAGAGAATACCCAAAAACTTGCAAAATGACACCCTGTTGTCCAGCTTTGTTTGGCACTTAAATTTGGGGGTGTGTGGAGGTCGTTTGTTACAACTAGATGTTAACATAAAACTGTTTTAAGAAACTGACTCTTCCTGTTTTGTTTTTTGGGTGTTTTTGGTTTTTTTGTTTAAATACATAGGGTTTGGGTAGACATAAATAGCAATTATGTTTTCCCGTATTAGATGAGGTTTAGGTAGGTTTGAGAGTAGAACATATCTGAGTGACTGGTGATTTTATTCAGGTAAAAATGACAATTATTTTTTCCGTTTCTATCCAAAAGTCAAGCTGGAACCAAGTGTTAGGAGTTTGCATTTTCTGGAAAGCCAGTTGGTATTTTTATGTGCAGTACAGACAGAAGGTCCAGGTAATAGGTAGAGCACTTAATCTCTAAACATACTGGGTGCCTTGAAACCCCGTGGAGTTTGTCTGGATTTTAGAGACAGACATTCTTGTAATAATCCCTTTGTGGGTTGTTGGTTTTTTTCAGCTAGGGTGCATCTTTTTGCCAATTGTTTATTCTAGTTTCAGAAACTTGAAGAAGGCAGATCAAATACGTATTTATCTACTTGGATCCTTCTCTGAACTGAGTATGACTTCAAAAGGCTTTGAAATGTGGAGCCTCAAGGATTTTCTCACTAGTAATTATAGACCTGGAACTGTGTATTTAATTAACTGGGTGGTGTTATATGTGAAACCTTTTTACATAAAGAGGATGGTCTGAGATTTTCATCGTAGTGCCTCTCATATACCACACTTTCATTCCAAGACGCCAGATTTCTGTATTCTATTTTCTATTTAGTTTCCTTCATCTGCAGTCTGGGATTGTTTTCCTCTGTCCTTGTATCAGTAAGATATGGGAGTTGATCACACTTAAAAACATCCATAGCACGAGCTTAGATGCAAGTACTGCTACCGCAGCCATAGTTTAGAGCCGTGACTGAAGAGTAAGATTTTTAGCTAAGTATTAGTCCAGAAGGGATGGTATATTGTAAAATAGTAGTGAGAGCTGTTGACCTTTTCTTGACAGTGTTAAAAATTCTCCCTCCCCTGCCCCTTTGTGTACTGGTATTTGCTCTCTGTCCCTGCAGGGACTAGTGGCAGTGCAAATACCTGGTCATTTTGGCAGTAGGGTCCTGCTGGGTGATGGAAATCTGCCACTGCTACCCTTAAATGGAGTAATGGAGTAACAGAAGTGAAGCTCTGACAGTGACTAATGAAATATTGAGAGCAGGGGAGACTTACTTCTATGAATAGTAAATAAAAGCAAAAGAGAAGCATAGAAGAGCTCTAATTTTTTGTTCTCTACAAATACTGCAGCTAAAACACTGGGCTGAGTGTGTTGTGCTTACATTTTTGATATTATTATCTTTTTTCTGAATGTTTTTTTTCAGACTTTTGGATAGAAAATTTGGACTTGTTGACTCAAGATACTTTTTAATTATTATTTTTTTTAACAGATACTTTTTTCAAATACTTTGTTTTTCTTTGTGGCATTAAGAAGGTAGTCACTTTAGCATTAATTTAGATCCTAATTGGAAGGATTTGGGGAGAGCACAGCATAACAAAAGAATATGTATGTCTGTCATAATTTCAGTAATTGAAAATATTATAAAAATATGTTAATGTTTTGCTGGGAGAGGGAGAGGAATGATTTAAGAAATGAACTCCAGAATCAGAAGTGAAATAGGAGAGCTGCAGCAGAAATGTGCTGTATAGAACATTCCTGAGCAGAATGCCATCAATGGATAGTACTTTATTTCACAGAATCACAGAATATGAGGAGTTGGAAGGGCCCTAGAAAGCTCCCCCAGTGCAAGCCCTGCCAGAGCAGGATCACCAGAGCAGTCACACAGGAACACGGCCAGGGCTTTGGCTGTCTGCACAGAAGGAGACTCCACAACCTCTCTGGGCAGCCTGGGCCATGCTCCATAACCCTCACACTGACAAAGTTTGTCCTCATCTTCAGCTTGAACCTCCTGTGCTCCAGCTTGGGACCATTGCCCCTTGTCCTGGCATTGGACATCCCAGAGCAGAGCCTGGCTCCTTCCTCCTGACACTGCCCTTTCCAAATGGATCCCCATGAATGAGGGCACCCCTCAGTCTCCTCTGCTCCAAGCTCAAGAGCCCCAGCTCCCTCAGCCACTCCTCAGCAGGAGATGCTCCACTCCCTCCAGCGTCTCTGTGGCCCTGCTGGACTCCTTCAAGCAAGAAATTTACCAGAATATCTCAGGTTTCCAAATCCTGAATTTTGGTGAATATTCATACTACAATTAAGATAAAAAATAGTCTTGGCAAAGAACCTTTGATATTCTTTTAAGATTTTATAAATTCAGAAGGTAAAATCACTGCAAAGAAACTCCTTGTTCTATGCATACTGGAATGTTAGTGTTTATCTTGGAATTCAGAGAAATGAGGCTTTATTTCCATGTTTTCAGCGCTTCATTTTCTGTGCAAGTCTTGCATCACTTTCTCTGTTGCCAGTCTTGATTTTCGCACTAAAGTTTCTTGACAGCTTAAAAAGAAGAATCTGCAGAGTTACTTTGAACCTGTCCTTATTTTTTAAAAATAACCAGTGATGTCTCTTTTATTTAAAAGGAGACTTTTACAATCTGTAAATTTTGTTTTTATTAAAGCGAGAAGCTTTAGCCACCGATTCAGGAAAAAGTAAAACTGAGTGGTTTCCTGAAGTGAGAATACACCTTTGTTTGGCGTTATCTTACCAGGAAGGTAAAAAAACCCAACCTTACTGTTATCCCACTGATAGCTTACTGATATCCATTCCATTGTCAGCTTTGGTTTTGTTTTATTTTGGTTTTTTTTCTTCTTTTTTTTCTGTTTTTTCCTTATGTTCGTGCTTTCTGTTCTTTTACAGAATTAACTGGAATCCTATTGAAAAGGAAATATTTTTAAGGTCACTATTAAGATAAAATTCTAATTCTTAGCTTCTGTATTCACTACATTGCCTTGTAGGCTTTCCTGCGGATTCCTGTACACTTGAACACATGCTGTTTCTTACAAGAACTCTAAAAATGGTCTGTCTTGAAGCTGGATACCTGTTACTTTAATAGCATCTATTACCTTAGTCTGAGAAGGAAAGGCTGTGTTGCCTCATGTCCTCCATTCGCTCTCCATCTGAACCAAATGAGCAGTTTCCTTGCTAGCTAGCTAGGATTTCAGAGGGGAGAAGGACACATGTTGTGTGGGAAGGTGTAGTAGCATATCAGTTTTCTGTGGTATGCACTGTTTATTCCCAGTTTTGTCTGTGTTTTATGCTTCATGCCTAGAAGCACAAAAACATTGTATAACACAAGGCTGTTTAAAAACAGGCCGATTTTGGAGCACTTTTCAGTTACAGTGAGCACGTTGTTCTCCTTCCGTAGCTCTGCTTTCTCTTGTTGAGATGTCACTTAAATGTGAAGCTGGAGAATTAAATGAGAGAATGACTTCCAAGGTTTTGTAAGAAACAAGCCAGCTCTTGGGAAAACTCCTTATACAGAGTTTGGGTTTTTTTAATCTTTATTTTTTGCTATTGTTAAAGAGTTTCCTGGTATGAGGTCGGCTGTTCATTTCAGTCTGTACTAAATACTGGAGAGGCTTGCTTATTCTTCCCCTCAATATCCTCTCTCTAGGAATATTTCTGATACTGCTACATATTCTAATACTAAACACGTTAAATGTTCTGGTTCCTAATTTGAATGGATTCCAGCTGGCACTTTATGTTGTGCCTTCATAATGTTTTGTTTTATTTGTAATTACTGAAAAGTGAGTGTGTAAGCATAGTACTTCACAGAAATGCATTTTCTGCCCAATTATTCTTAAAATATTAATAAATAATAGTATGCTATTAGGCTGAACGTACATACTAAGTTGAATATTGATTGTTTCTTGATGTTTTCTTTTATTAGATGACGCTTCAGCTCCAGAGCAGCCTCAGATGACCGTTTCTGGTCAGATGATCCTTTCTGGCCAGATGATGTTGACTGGTGAAACTCTTTCAGCTGTCTCAAAGTCTAGCAAGAACGCTGTAAAAAACAGTGACCTAGAAACAGTAAACCTATCTCCTAGCCTGATTCCTGCACAGCAGCCCACCATATCGTTAATAACAGGTGACAATACCGATGCACTAAGTGTAGAGTCGCTCACGCTGGTGCCACCAGTTGATCCACACAGCATTCGAACATTCAGCTGCCTTCCTCAGTCCTCTTTGCAATCCGAAGTTTGCACGGTAAAAGAGAGAGAGGAAGAATGTGCTGACTAATGCGCAACTGCAGACTGTGATAAACAGCGAAGCAAATGCAACCAAATTCTTTGTTGTTTTTCCTTCGGGAGTACAGAGACTTCTTAAAGCCTGAGAGGCCATCAGGTCCACGAGAAGCAGCCCACTGCTGAGAGAATGTGGACAGCTTTTAGGGTAAACATTGGATGCTCACCATACTGAAACTGGAGAAGGAAAAGAAAAACAAACCACTTTTGAATCTGGACTGGTTGGTTCCTATCAATTTCTGTTTTACAAGAACTTGAAAGTATTTGAGCACCTTTGTTTCTGTTACAGAGTTCCAACTGTAGGAACTAAGTTAATTTTAAAAGGTTTGCAGTATTATGGTAAAGTGAAGATATCTTTGGACACCTGGCTTCAAGACATTGTATTATTACTTCTCTGAAACAGTAGACATAACCATTGACCAGAAAAAATATATATTGTAGTACAGAGATGACATTTCCATTTGAGATGTGTTGGGGTTTTCACCTTTTTAAAAAAGAAAAAAAAATCCTGATCTCATTCATCTTTTGGAGGTCTGCATGATACCAGCAGGCTTGGCCACTTTGTGTTGTCTTCGTAGGACTCTAGACTTGAATATTATGTTTTCCATGTGTAGTATTTATTTCAAGGTTTGATTCAGAATAAGATATATATCAAAGGATTTTTTTTAAAAAGTAAAAGCCTGAAATTTAATGACAAGTGCTTACTCAAACTAACATAAGGGATGTTTGAGACTACTTTGGTCTTTGCTTAACCAGCTACAGAGGAATGTGAAATATTTTGAGAGATTGCTATAGCTTGTTTGTTTGTTTTTGACAGTCACTTTGCTCCACTTCTGAGGAATGACGATATCCTTTCTACTGCAGGACAGCTTCTAGAAGCAGACAGAAGCCGTTTTACTCTAAAGAGGCTTTTAAATTTTTCATCTTCATGTAGGAAGAAGGTCCCCACAGCTAACTGGTATTTCCTTTGCAAGCCTGAAACTCAAAAGCAAAGGTATTGTGTAGGTTTTTTTCCCCATCTGGGATAGTATCACAGTTAAACAACACTGCTACATACAAGTGATTCTGAGTTTATGCTTGCCTTACTTTGCTCCCTAGATCCTGATACCAAGTTGACAGAGGTAGTGGAAAAGTGTTGATTAAAGTTGGGAATGTGCTTTGCTGATCTGGTATGGAACTTAACATGAATGGAATTTAAGACGTCTCATCAATTGCCACGTGTGTTAATTTAAATTAATAGTGAAAATGAGCAGATTGTCATTACTGGTCTGCACGTAACACTGAGTGCTTTCTGGCTCTCAGAGATTAAACTCTACTATTTCCTTTACTTGGTGGTGTGATTTCAGGCGTCAGTACAGTCTGTTTCCTCATTCTGTCTCTAGTAACACCAATTCGTATCAAGTAGGTGAATCTGAAGTCTTAACCTACTTCCCAGTCTCTTATTGTACCTCTTCCTGGCTGTCAGATGGAATATTTGAAGTTATTTTAAATGTAATATATGAGATTGGGTAACCTACTAGTATAGCTTTGCTTGCTCTTTCCATCTTTTCCTTCATGTAATAACTTAATCTTTGTAAAATGTGTATACAAGGTGTCTGCTATTGAATGCCAGCAATTTTTTTCTCCCCTTACTAGCTTTTGCATGCAGTTTTGCTGATTTCTAGTTTTCTATGGCTTCTAATTTGTCTCAGATTGAATTAATACTCTGACCATTCCAGAGTGGCCCAAGCTCTACATGAATTCTGAGTTAGGTGTTCTCAGCGCCGCTATGGGTGTGGGGCGAGAATCTGGCATTGCTGAAGTAAGCCAGTGTGTGTGTACGTGAACAAGCCTGGTCATCAGTAGTAATTGGGGCACAAGGACCACATACATTTTTATTAGCTGAACTGATTGCAGTCTGGGCTTCCTCTGGTATCTTGCAGCATTACGCTGTAGCCCTAGTAATATTCTGAAGATCATAATAAATGTGAGGCCTTACTTAATTTGAAAGCATTTAATGATAGTTGCTAACTTTAACTCTTGACCTAGATTACACAAAATGCTACTGTGCAGGGTAAAATTCATTTCAGACAGGAAAACCTTGATCTTTCTATAACTTCAAATTCAGTTTGAGCAAGGACCATGCACAAGGAGGTTTTTTAAAGGATATGCATAGTCTCACCCTTGAGCCGTACTGCACAACACGTGGGACAAAGGGAAGGAAAGCTGACTTTGTGCTTGTCATTGCCTTTGAGGGGCTTTTAAATCTCATGAGCAGTTGTCTGCTGAGAGCTTCACAATAAATGACTGAGATGGATACAATTATTAGAAAAATAGAAGACTAGGCCTACTGTGTAATCTGCTGCTGGCAGAACCTTGCTGGTCAAGGGGTGGAAGGTGGGGGATCTTTAGCAGTTCTATCAAAAGCTCTCTGCAGAGGCGAAATTACACCAGGAAAGCTCTGACTGCAGCAGCTCTCCCAGTGTTGTGCTGCTGTATAAACTCTACAACTGGTACAGGCCAACCGAAATCTCTGGTTATGCCACAGGAGCAATTGATTTTTGACTTGTTTGCTTCTAATATTAAGGCATATGTGTGTACAGTTTTACTGTGCTTCATGCTGCATTAGGAGACTTAAAAGCTATGGAGATGCTGAAATAATCTGTCCTCTGCAATCTTTTATCTCTGCAATTATGGTGTTACTCATTGCAGTTCCTTGAAGAGTATCGTATCTATCGCTCCCTTATCAGAAGAACTCAAGGGCTGTTTTCTTATCCCCCTTTCACTGTAAAAAGGAAACTCAACCAAGAAAGCATTAGCACATCAGCCACAAATGTATTTTTTTTTTCCCTAAACAAAAGTTGATTTGAGACAAGGTAACATCGCCCTTTTTAACCAAATCCAAAAGCCAAGTTGCAAACGAGAGCAGCAGCTACACAACTGACCATTCGAAAGGCCCAGCGTTTCAGTGTAGTGCTGCAGAGGGGAGGCAGAATCACTCTAAAATAAACACAGCAATGTTCCAGAGCAAAATGACAGCATTTTGGAAAGATGTTGAAGCCTCAGTGTTTGTGTGTAGAGGCTATGCCTATCTTCAGCCATATTGTGTTAATGTAAACCAGTTCTTGGTCTCTTCCTTTTGAGAAGAGAAGCTGAAGAAGCCAAGGCATACGGAGTGTTACTTTGCTGTTCTGTGGTCTGTGCCTCATTTTGTCAAATTTTACCAAGATATTACTTGTTTCACAGCACTGTGTGTTGCTGGTGCTGTTCGGACTCACTGCCCCTTTGCTTTTCTGTCATCCAGTGCACAGCAATGAACAAGACTCGAGCTTTTCATTTGTGAAGAGAGTAATGGCAGCATCCACTCGGTAATTTGAGAAAGAAGGGGAAGGAGGAAACATTGGTGCCCAATTCTGATGTCTGCTTCACCATGGAATTATGCAAGCAGCGTAGAGTCTGTGTGCCAGTAGTTATTGTTTTGCAGAAACTCTTTGATACAGAAAGAAACCAAAGGTTAAGCTCCCTGCACTTTATTTTACAAGCTGTGTGGCTTAAACCAAATTCATTAGAAATGTGGTCACATATATTAGTACTAAAAGCTGAACTTTGTGTGTAAAGTCATGAATTGTATACAATATGGGGATTGAGCTCATTTGTATTCTCTACTGCTTATTCATGATAAACTAAAATTCTGACTTCCTTACAATAAGCTGAGCTTAAAAAACTTAAAAAAGATAAAATTACACTTGGTAAAGAAGCTCCTCAGTGTTCTTCACTTTACAACACAGTTGGAATTGTCCTTGAAGTCACTTGGTGAGGAAAATTGGCAATATCTTCCAGAATTCGTTTACTCTTTTGCAGTATTGCTGCTAAAGGACGGGTTTGTGACATTTAGAAACTCTTCTTTCATCCAGAATTTAAGACTCGCATCTAGATCAGTATTGAGAGCTTAAGTCAATGTCCATTGACTCATAGGAACCCTTTACCCAACAGAGACAGAATACAGAGGGAGATGCTGTTTCTTTGAGGATCTGGAGTATTCTTGTGTAGAACCCCAAAACTGAGGGCTAAAATAGTTTGTTTATAGCAAAACCAGCAATCTTTAGGATTGAAGTTACTGCATTGTTTGGGGTTTTTTCCTAATTAAGGAGCAAGACACGAGAGACTGTATTTTCCACGCTTACTACAAGTGGCCTGGGATGATTGCTTGGAGCATTCTAAGAATCCAGTAATTGCCCTGCAATCCGAGTGTCATTTCACTAGTAGTAAATTGAACTTAAACCTGTGTGCTTGAAGACATAGGTAAGCTATCAGGCAAGCAGGTCAAACTGTATAAGTATGAAGCTACTTCATAAAAGTAAATAATCAGATGGTGCTGTCTGGTGTAATTGGTCGCTGTTTCACTCACACATCATAGGTAATTAACTACAGAATAGCCTGATGTGCAGTTTCACTAACCTGCATGTAGTATTCTTCAAAAAACCCACTGTGCTAAGCATTCTGATGCTGTCTTCACTAACCAGCTAAAGTTAGGTGGGGAGTTGCTATTATAAGAACATTGCACAGGCAGCTGTTATCTGGGAGACAAGGCAGTTTCGTTGTATGTAGTTAAGTCACAGATTAGCGAAGAGACATCAGATGGGGACATCGATGAGATGTGGGCATTTTGCCTCAAAGATGATGATTCTCCCTGATGAGCCTCCTCCTCTTTTTCAGGCAGCCTAACGTTAGGCACCTAAATACATGTTGAAAATTCTCTTCTGAACTGATACTGTCCTTCTTGAAAGAGTTTTTTGGTGTGTCACTGTTTAACCATCACTAACCTGGACACTGCACTTCTCTTACCTCAGTCTCTGGAGTGCTCCTGTG